GGACTAATTGCAGGTGTACTGCAACTAAAAGATAAATAGAGATAAATATAATTTTCAAGGGTCTAGATTATAACAACTCTGCAAAGAAGATAACTAGGTAGCCGACAGATTTGCCATTATATGGATACAAGAAGGTAGCTACTTCTGTTGGGAAGGCACCACTCTACAACAAGGACCAAAAAAAGCTAATTAGAGAAGCGTGACTTTTCCGTTACAGACATTACACTTTCCTTTTTACCTTCATCGATTTTTCTACCGTATTCAGCCATTGAAAGATTTTTTGCGGTCATCAAACAACTCACGGACGTCTACTGACGTCATCCCATTGCTTTCAAAGCGTTTTCTGATCAGTGTATTTGTGACACGGGAAGACCACTCCCAGTCCCTGAAGAATTCCACTACCCCCGCAATCATCGCAGCTCGGAAAATAATGAAAGGAACGAACAGCTTTCCGTACCTATTGAGTGAGAATGGGTTCCGCATTATGATATATGCACCAACCAATGATTTCCTTCCCTACCTCACCACTTAGGTGTTCTAGAGTGCTCAAAGCCCATCAAAATGGAGGAACCGGTAAAAAACACACTCGGAACAATAAGATTATTGTTAGAGAAAGATTATCAAGCTTAGCAACCTTGTCACTAGAGCCCAGACTCATGAATTGGTTGAAAAGCTTGAAACTACCAAAGACGTTTAAGGAGGCTTCAGTGAACTGAGCCAACTAGTCAACAGCATACTGCCAGATGTGAGAGCGCTTGAGGCAGTACCTTTCAGAATTCTATAGCGGGCACTGAAAACAAACGGAAATTGGAGCGCTGGCTGACGAAATTTCCTCGTAACGTGTGGCTCATGTGGCGACTGAAAGTAGTTTCACCTCAACCAAATGAGAAAGACAGACAAACCCATTTCCAAAAGAACCCCAAAATTATAGAGTGAAATAACAGCGTTCAAAGTCCAATCGAATCAAATTCCACGCCGGCCATCTTCATTGCAATTCAGCCAATAGATGCCATACCTGCACGGCAGAAAAATTGCTACCTTCAGCCATCGTTGGCAATCGTAGATTAAGGTGCATGTAAAATGCCTCCTTCAAAAGGCCTGGAATGCCAGATGGAACATGACTGGCACGTGAGGAAATCGATCAGCGCCTTGTACTTCAATTTTCGCCTCCAACCCAGGATGGATAACGCTAGACGAGAGCTCAAGAATTGGATAAGAAACTTGTTCAGCAGGAGATGAAATGAATGTCGGGAGGGGAGGCCTCCACTTACAATACAACTTCTGGTTCAAGGAGTCGATAAGTAGAAACATATGGGAATAGATTATCTCTCAGCTTCTTGTCCACTAGAAATCTTGAGAAGGAAACCTCAGACGAGCACAAGAAGAAAGCCTAATGAAGTTTCTGATGAAAGACTGAAGACGACTGAAGTTACCACCTACTTTACCAGGAGCAACGCGATTCAATGAGTTTCAAATTGAAAGCGACGGTAATATAGTTTGTAAGGAGAAATTAGGACTAAGGAGGAGGGCTTGAAAGCATGTGAGAGCAAATCCGCTTTTATCATTAAAATCCAGAAGATCTTACAGCTGATTTTCAGTACATTCCGCTTATAACGATCAGCTATGCCCACCGATAAATGATAGCTAAAGGGCAAACGTCTCACTAAACTTTCAAACCACTATTTCCCGATGTCAACGGTTTACGATCAACAAGAAAAGCACCAAGGTGCATCTGAATAACGACTCAATATACTCCTGCGCGTTAACCGCTGTCATTTATACCAACCGACCAAAACCTGGCAGTCCAATCCCGTTAGAGACCAAGAGCTGTACAATTTCAGACAGCAAACCAATGTTCAAACCCTGCAGCGCTCACTAGCTCATATAAACCTGAGGTTTAGCATGTTTCATGTAATTTGGGTGACCTCAAGGAAAATTATTGGCCTTGCTGGGACATTACTACTAGCTGTAACCGACAGCCAAACTACACATTAAACTTAAGCTCTCGGCATCTACTCAATAAATATCCTCTCTCAGAAACTCAAAAATTCCCCATGAGTTCGTTCGCAGGTAGAAAATAGACCAAGAGTACAAGAAGGTATGCCCGAAATATTTTACCCGAATAACAAACCTTAAAAAATAAAAACGATACTCTGAAAGCAGTCATTTCATTATCCTCAATCTACAGCACATTATTATTTTCGTGATGTTACGAGCTGTAGCCACCTGGGCGTCGAGGGCAACAGGATTGAGGGCTTGCTCAGTCTTGTTGCAATTTAAAAATTGCGACTAGTGGATTAGAATAGTCAAATCAAGAGCGATTTTAACGGAAAAAACAATCCACTCTGCCGTAGGTCCGTCGTAGGTATCCCTCGATCTAGCCAAAAATCAGGAAATTTTCAATGTATTAGTAACAATCAAGAAGCAATGCTCATTATATGTATTCATTATGAATTATTTGTCAGGAAAACTATTCGGATGACTTTAAACACTTATGCGGTGAACAAAATAGAACTCTAGTAAGGCTATGGTATGAAGATCTTCCTTTCGAGCACCCCTAAGCAACTCACAGCATTCATACAGCATTTTTTTCAATCTTTGAGGTAGAGATAGAGGAAGATTCGAACTTATCAGTCATCATTACCACTCAATACAAGTTAGTATTCACTTCTACGAAGCATTGTCAAGGTTAAAATACAACCAACAATATTCATAAACCGGAAATAATCGAGAATGCAAGATATCAATGCCTTTCAGTTTCATTGAAGAATAACGACAATACATAATGCTTTCGCGATTATCGATCCCTGAGACAACTACAACTGGAAGGTTTTTCACATTCTCAATGTCGACACTGCTAGGAATCTGCTTATTTGAACCACGCGATAAATCGACAACGAGCAGCCATGCCACATTACTGGTATCAAAATGAAAATGAGAGCTGACAATCAATAAAGTACTCTGGACGAAATTACTGAACGTGTCACGCGAGCGGGCATCCCCTCACACCCACAGAACGTTTCTATCAAGCCCCTGACGAGCCCATTAAAATGAATGTAACTGCTCTCTCTGACCAAATACATAAAATATCCTGAACTGAGATCGGTGGAGAGGATGTGGAGGACGGGCCCACAGCTATGAATAAGCTCCATCTTAATTTCATAGGAATAGCCATTCATTAATCTCTGCAAGAAGGGAAGTGAATTGATGATCTTCGGAAATGAGCCTCTCAATCCTAATCAATTCCGACGCTATAAAAAGCCTCTCGAAGCGCAAATCAGGAATGACAAGGCCTGCCAGAGACCACTTAAGGCCCAGCGGCGGCAGACGGCTACCGCAGTCGCCTAAACGATGACATTGAAGCAAGTTTTAATGCGATTTTGTGGGGGCCCACAACAAAAAAAGTGTGGACGACTGATCATGAGAGATGACGAATGAAGCGGAGCCCCGCGTGCTGACGACCATGACGTGGTGTCTGTCGGTAAAACGTGCCATTCGATGGACCTTCCCCACTCCCCTCTCTTTCACCGGAAACGCAATCGATACGCGTGCGTGCGCGTAGTCCCTCAACTCTCTCCACTCTCCTATACACACAATTACGCACATATACATACATACTGATATACACGCAGATATACAATCATACATACCCACTTTCACATATATTTATATTATAAATTAACATAGCAACTCATATTTGTCACCAATTCAAGCTGTAACACTGGTCTCTCACCTAATTCCGCCCGTCACTCCTTCAGCTCATCATAAACAAGTCTGACACTTAAGGAACTTCCAAAAAAGGATTACGTTCTGCTCATTGTGAGTCCAGGATAAAAACTTATATTACTTGTTCAACGCTAATCTCTCCAGACCTCTACGACGATTTCCACCAACATTTGATCCCTAGAGGAGAACAAATCCAAATTTTCGTTGTCGTTTGGGAGGAAATGCCAACTGTTATATCAGAGCACTACCCAAAAAAAAAAGAAAATTTTCGAAAGTTAGCAAATTCTGGCTGAGAGTGCTTAGCAATGGAATTAAAAAAGCATGATCAACCTTTGAGAACTGACACGAAATATTCAGGTGAGCAGTGTTTTCCATAGAATGGAACAATCTTTTTTGAAAGAGATTCTTTGGGGAGAATACCGCATGGAAATGTTGGTCTAAAGAACGGCTAAGAAGATGGACGCTTATGTTTTTGAAGTCGAACAATCCATTCTTGGGATAAGGACCCTTATTCGATCCCTTAAGAATTGTAGTGGGGCTGAAACAGCGTCTTGGCCTACGTAATGAACTGCGAAGTTCAACCAATGTGCACGACATTGCTTTTAGACCATCAAATGAGTCTGATAAAAATACTCGAATCAAGAGACTGGTCCATTATCAGTCCTACATTTAATCCCTGAACTCTACGTGTCTTCACAAAAAGATACTAAGAGGGGAAATCCGGCATACAATCTTAAAGGCAAAAGGTCATGAATAAGGTTCATAACAATAATAGATCACTGAATCTTAAAGAAAATCTCCAAAACACATCTCGAACAAGACAACTTCTCATATACAAATATTCTAAATGGTACCAGACTCGTTTAGTAGTATAAAAGCACTGACTTGTACACCGGCTAGCCACCGCAAATGATTGTATAGACTACATGTGCATTGAAGAGGCCACTACGATTATGAGTGGAAGTGGAATGCGAGGGCGCATCTCTAAGGCAGGATTGTCAGCGCCCAAAGACTTATCCTTTTATCCTTCAAAGAACCTGCACTGAAAGGGAGCACGAGCTGCACTGCACGAGTTCGGCAAGCGTAATATTCAAGTCCTCTACTTTTTCAGACTACACAGTAAATGTAGTTTCATAAAGGAAAAAACTAAAAATAATGTTTATCGAAAAAGGGAATGTTGCTCCTAGTACGTAAAGTGATGGCAACATTCTTAAACACATGTACTTTGAACAAAGTACTAAACACGCAATGTTCTTCGGACCATTTCAAAACAACTAACCGGAATTGTCAATGATTGGGAAACATAGAATGTTCCTTGTATGGAAGCCGGTCAGTTGATCGACACGAGCATAGAAAAACGGGCATCTGAAATCAAGAACAATCATAGCGGGTGATGGGACTCATTCAATTCAATTCCAAACACAACAAACACTTGATCAGATGTTGACTATGAAAAGGAACCTTTGAACATCACGGACGTTCATCATTGCTCTCGTTGTTGCAACTCGTCCAACAACACCTTTCGTCATCGGAAGTCGAATCTCCGACAAATCTCCTGCATTATCAAATACGTTCGCAACCAGTTCCTTGTGCTCATTGTCCAGTAGAAACAACGAACACCTGTAAGTAACGAATATGGCAGAAAAGCAGCATGAAGTAGGGTTTTTGCAACGACTCAGTTTTGTAACAGCAACATAACTGGCAATTATCACACACTCTAAGAAAATCTCAGAACCACAGAAAACAATACTGCGAAAACACCTTTCTAAAACAATGTCTTATTTTTTCTTTGATTTTCTAACTCTACAGTGTCGTGCAAGGGACTTCCTTACATGGGTAGCAATATCCATTGTCATTAATGATTTCTAGAGAGATAAATCCCATTTTATGAGCTCATAAAATATGATTTGTCTCTCTAAAAATCACTAATGACAATGAATATTTAGATTCGTGGTAGATATATGTATTTCCGATTAACGGAGTCGCGAGTGGCGAACTATCATAAATGCAGGTTCATGGTTCAATTCTCGGCTTGATATCCGCCTAGGCCAACCAAGCTTTCCATCTTCCCAGGGTAGCTGACCTGTACCTCGACTGGCCACCGAAAGCCATTGAACCGACCAAATACACACTCAAAACCCCACTAGAATTCCGAGTAGAAGTTGANGGAGTCGCGAGTGGCGAACTATCATAAATGCAGGTTCATGGTTCAATTCTCGGCTTGATATCCGCCTAGGTCAACCAAGCTTTCTATCTTCCCAGGGTGGCTGACTTGTACCTCAACCACTGAATCGACTGAATACGCAGTCAAAACACGACTAGAATTCCGAGTAGAAGTTGAATGCAGCGGCGCAACTCATAAGCGCTATTCATCAATGACCAGGATTTTATGCTTCATCCTTAATGTTTTCGATATTGTGTGTCAACAAAGGGAACGTCGATGAAAAGCTTGCGCTAACGTGCCGCATAGGTGCTTGGAACTCAGGAATTCGATCAGTGATCGCAAACGGGAGCGTATGAGAAGTGCGATCAAGAGTGCGCACGACCTTTATATAACATGTGTCATTCTATCAACAAAACATAAGAGAAGCTCATGTCTACGAAACAACATAAAAGCATCAAAAAAGAAAAATAAAGTGCAAGAGTAAAATACAATAATGTTTCTAGGGGCAATTATAACCCTCGGCTCGGAGAATTAGGAAATAGAACCCTATAATTTCGGTAGCGAGTGAGAAACAACTCACGTCTCTGCATGTATGAGATTTTTCGCTTCGTTAGTTATAGTCCGAACAAGACTCTTCATATCTTCTGAGTGTAGAATAAGTCTTTGGTAGACACCCGGTGAAACCGGTCTTTCTCCATTTCGAGCTGATGACGACGGTGACGATCGATGATCTGTCTGAAGCCATCCACGTTTATTCCAATTAACAGTGCACACCTGCGGTCAGAAATGTTGTACTGTTTTGCTGTAAAACCCAGTTAAAGAAAAGCTAGATTGAACGATGCCTAGACTCTCAGATTGAACAAGAAAAGCTGGATGTCTTCACACCGCAGGTCTGAATCGTTACCTGCTTCTGCTCTCATAGTCTACAGGCACACACTGACATATAAGCATACCTATTCGGGAAAGGAGTTTAGAAAGTTCTTACTCCCGATCCCAACAGATGGAAATGCACAAAATAGAAAAGGTTTTGGCTTCCCAGTTACATCATAAACTGGAAAACTCTCCAGAAAAGTGCGAAGGAGCTACTCTACTGACAATGAGTACCGATTCACCAAACACTTAAACACATATTGGGGTCCCTTTAGAACTCGTACTATTACACAACTTCCTAAATGCTTTCGCTTTGCCATATTTTGTAAAATCTGGGCACGCACCTCATCCGTGTCACATGACGAACTAGACATAACCGACGGTGGCGCTTCAACGGAGGATGCGCTGGCGGTCGTCGACGGTGCAGTACTGACGCTTAGCGGCGGGTGCGATGATTTCCGCCATACAGGCGACGACGGCATCGGCAACGTTCCCAGATGAGGACTTGAGTTTCGACGCCACTCCACAACGGACATTAACCTAGAAGTATTCCAATACAAGCCTGTCGATGCGGGTAAGTACAGAACATATCGGGTGAACGGTACAAGAGCAACGAAATACGCATAGAAGTCAGTTAAATTGGCCTAGACTCAAGCGAGGTTACTGATTTCCATGGATGGTAGCTTATTTGCTCAAGTGAAAGCCAATGTGTTTGCTGCTGAATTGACCATAAAGGATGAAGGATAAAGTCTTTGGCGTCAACCTCCACGCATTTTGGATGCGCCCCTGCATTCGAGTTCCATTCAGAATAGTTTTGCTTGTTTGAATAAGTATATATCCTTTACAATGGATTACTGTGGTCAGCCATTTTACAAGCCGAGTTTGGTATCAATAACCGACCCCGGAGGGTTGGGGGCTTACAATTAGGAGGCCCAGTCGGATATCGACCTGGGATTTAAAAACAGACAATACATGTGTAATAGTGTCCTACTTGCTACTACAGCATCTTAGCCCAAATTTAGCCCGAATGGATCATAACTGACTGAGAATATTTCAAAGTCAACAATGGCTGAATTTGTTGCAACTTCCGAGCCGTTTCGATCCGAAAATTTTTCGGTGCCTATCACCCATGTTAACAAGAGCAATCCCAGTTGTGAAGCTGAAAAAATTAAGTGACAAAGGAGATTTAGAACGCGCGGCGATTGCTTTCTATGAGCGCCTTAGTATTATATATACCCTTGCTCGAGAACTTGGGTGGGCTCTGTTTGGGAACATAGGCAACATTTGTTTTCTAAAGCACCTCGCATTAATTTCTGCTTCTTTAGCATTTCACAGAAACAAAAGAAAAAGAAAAATTTGTGTAGAGAGTTTAAAGGACTCGAAAACAAAGGAAGATAGACTCTTTTGAGTGGTATTCTGAAAGGATCCATATTATGATACAGATGAGCAGCTACCTATTTCAACAAGGACAAAACAGTCTCGAACAATAAGCTCACACTCTTCCAGCAGCCCAAGAGAAGGATCGGAATGAAGGGAAGACACCTTTCAAGTCTGCATAAGTAGCAGAGTTCCCCTCTCATGAATCCATACTATTCATTTGAAAACCCACCACGCCAACAAATCATTCACTCTAATATATCCGATGACAAGCTCACATTGGGATCACCTAATGGTAGGACAGTTTTTGAAGGATTGCCACGCACTCGTGTTTTCGCTGGGATCGCGTACTCAAGCCAAATGTAATCTAGAAACGACTGTAGATGCTTTCCAATCAAAAATCATTGCTTAGATTTTCCGATTTCATCATACCATGTAACTCATGTCTAAATGTTGGAAGCGTCATGCCAGCAACCTTAATTTCAATACACAACCTTAATTGATCATTAGAACAGGATTTCACTGGACCACTGAAACTCGTGTAAGCGCAGAATCAAAACTCAAGAAAAACAAAACAAAAAGAAAGTTTAGTCCGGAGCCGTTCGCCGCGGGAAACGCTTCGCGCCCATTTTTCCCAAATTTGAGTCCCAATTTCGGCGTCGGATTAAATGTTTTGTGCACACTTGTTGCACTTTTCTGCACTGGATACAATCTACTAGACGTCGTCAAATAAATGCGTCATCTATAATGCGATTACGGCCCCTTGTGTCCCTCTGTGAGTCATATTCAACGTTGCAGGTTAGTTGGCATGGATGTTATGACTTTCTGGTGACTCATTCAGGCCTCACTTTTTCTTGTGCAAAAGACAGTCACCACTTTATGGCCATAGACAAAACAAGCTGGATGATAACGACTACTATAAACGTAAAGCCTTCTCGCTGTTTTTGAATTCCCAATAGGACTTGTTTATAGAACTAGATTTTATTTTATTCAGAAGATTAAAATTGCCACTGAATGTGAATCGGCATGAACTAAGGTCGAGAACCCTTCCTGTAATGCGTGGCCCTGTGGAACTTCACCTCAGAATCGCAGTGGAGTCTTGAAGGGTATGAAGCCTATAAAATGATTTGCGGGGATCAGCCTAACAAGTCAGGCTTGTATCCTCCCAGACGAGTCTGTTACCAATCAACCGACTCGGAGGGACGGAAGGATTAGTTGGCCTGAGTGGACCTTTATCCGGAACTGACCCTGGGGAGACGGAATACCCCAGGGGCAAATAAAAAGGACGAGATAGTTACAGAATGAGCTATTCATTGAACCCGATCCACGTTAATCATGTCGATAATCACACCCTTCCCTGTCTCATTATCAATGCCGTTAGGATAGTAACTGAGGAAGTAAAGAGACAAAGGAAACGTTCACTCTCTTGAACTATCCCTCACCCCCTTTACAATTCTTCCAGTACCACAAAAGTGCTCATAAGAAAATTATGAGGTCTCGACTACCAGCTCACTGTACAGACCAATAAGGATTTGATACATCTACGGATTCGAAAAGGAGTCAAGGTTATGGCGCATTCCGAGAAATCAGTCAGCAGTCGGAGCTTAATTAGAATTATGCGAGAGGAATAAAAAAAGGTCAAAAGGATTGAATCCAAGACATTTAATCAAGATGTCTCTTTTTTCTCGTATCGTGGGCGTACACTGTGTGGGATTGGTTTTCTAGAGCCCTGAGAAAGACCTTTTATTCCGGCTGGATTGGCAGCTGAGAGAAAACTATCTATTAGACTATCTCCCTGTGAAAATATCTTCAGCTGTTAGAGAGTTTTTCACACTTGGGATGTAACCAAGGGTCTGTCTGGAACAAAATCGTGATCGGATCTTACTGATGGGAGTAGTAATTTAGGAAAAAAGGCCATTACAAACTTGTAACTCTAACTTGAAGCTGACATGGCCGAATAACCCAGTTTACTTCCCGTTAAATAACCCCCCCCCCCCCCCGTGCGAGCGATTCCTCCCAGCATTACTATGTGAGCATAATTTAATACAGAGTGGAACTCTTGGAAGCAACCGGATGGTTCTCATAACTGGTCGCTAATAGCCTCAATCGTGAATGTCACCACTTACTGGTTAGACGTTCTGAACAATACCGGAACAACAATCACCATCAGGAGGTAAGGGCTCCTAGCAGTACCAGCCTGACACTCAGAAAAGTGCTTGAAACAGACACTCTGTGATGGAGAAAAAACGATTACACTGCGTGAATTTTTTATCCCTGCGTGTTTCTGAATTACAAAAACCCCCAAGGGTACTGATATGTAGGAGTTGGAATCCATCCATCTTGGCATCTCCATTAAGTGGGTCTGTCAGTAGGTTCGTCAGCTGTTTCGATAAATTTTCTATTGGGCGTCCGTGTAGACGAACAGGTGGGGATGATGCGTAGGAAACGAGAATGATGAGTGATGTCCTGGTGAATCTACCCACTACTCGGAATAGTTCTTCTCTACCACGGGCACATTTTCTTTAGCCGCTACATCTCTTCTACACATTGTGGAAGTGAGGAGAAACGGATGAAGTATTTAATCAATCCCGTCTAAGGGATGCGCCCCCGCACTCCCCCTCCATTTAGAATCGTAGGGGCGTAATGAGTGCGTATATGGCCTATGCAATGACTTGCGGTGGCCAGACGACGAACAAGTCGGTGTTTTTATCCTCCCATACGAGTCTGGGGCCAATTTACCGACCTAGCACGGATGGAGGGCGTGGTTGGCATAGGCGGATATCGATCCGTGATTCGAACCCCCTGAACGTGCGTGTGAGATAGAGATGCGCCATTTGCCACAATACCACCTCCGCCCATTGTGGAAGTATGTAAAAAAAATTGTCAATCAGTGTGGAAACTTTGACTTCGTTACTACTTTTACCTACTAATGCACCCAAGCTCTTCCATAAATTCGAACTCGAAATTCAAAAACATTATCGCCCACCTCTGAGCCTCGCCCAAGGTAACTTTTTTTGCGTCGCATNGGGGGGGGGGGGGGGGGCGCTTGAGTGTGTCTTCAGCTTACTTTATAACACGTTCACGGCTTAGGGATTCGTCTTGTAATCGCTATTCAAGTACCCTGCTGGAGTGCTTAAGGAGCGAGCCCAGACGATTGTGAGAGGGAGGATAGACGGCACAGGTGTAATATCGCTAAGCATAATCTGGATGATACCATCCGTGAGGCACACCTTTGAAAATTCCTCTAAGAACAAGATTTTCATGCATAATTCACCCATCGAAATGAATAACTCGGCCTTGATCTGAAAGAGAACTTGAACAGATCTGAAATTTAGACAACATCTGATTAAAGAAGAGGAGGAGGGGAGGGGATATAAGCTGAGACACGAGATTTGGCAAAGCGCAGCAGTCGTGAACGGCTACCACAGCCGGGGGCGGGCATTGGGGGTATGCGCCCACGCCTGACCCAAGTCACGTTCCTACCTTTTTTCTTGAATGCGTAATAATAAGCTATTAGGAAAAGTACAAGTAACGTGTCCGTTGAATTCACCACGCACCTTTGTCTTAGTTCATTTATCAGTATAAGACATTCGTGAACTGAAATTAGTTCAAAGTAGCGCCACAAGAAGTTCGACCTTTCTGAGAAATTCTCACTGTTAATCCCCTATGGATTGAATAAGAACCATTGGAACAATCGGTATTCAGCGAGATCGTATTGTCCCGGCGATGGTGTCCCGTTTTTCCCCTTAAAATTAATCTGCAGCTCAGCAGTCACCATCTGTAGCGCTGTCAGGACGAAAACTTACCTAAATCGGGTGTAATAAAGCACTGTCCGCTGCACCCAGAGGTGGTTCAGGCACCTTCAATAGGCTGCAAAATTCGTAATGGAGCACGTATGTTGTAAATTCAAACATCTACACCTGACCCATGGCGACCCGGGTAACGGATCTTCTCCCTGAATTCCCACGACCTGAGGCAGTACTTCCGCGGCGACTCTCCGTATCCTTTCACTGGAAATTCAAATTTTTCCCTTCATAGCGGACGATCGCGTGCGGCTAGTGCGACATGTCGTTCAGGGAGAAGATGCAGGACCCATGGCGACCCTATGTAAACTATGCTTTGAAGATCGTCTCTTCTGAAAGTTGTTCCATCCTTTTCT